ACAGGACAGGGCCGAAGGACGGGACGGGGCCAGGGATTATGCTATAGCTGCTAGCTGCTAGGGGCTAGGGTAGAGTTGGGGCCCGCTGCTACAATAAACGCTGGGCCACCCTAGATGCTGTGGCCGGGGCCGCACATCATTGCACATCAAAGTTGTTGATTCTACATGCGAAATGCTACTGATTGGGAGTCTGGGCGAAAATCGATCCATGATGTTACCCTCCCCCCCAACAAAAAAAAAAAACAACCACACTGATTCATGGGGAGGTGGCTTCGGGGCGGGCTGAGATATCTAATACTTCAGAACCCCCAGACGCAACTGGTAAATGCGAAAGGAGAAACAACACGAGACAGCTAGGACAGAACGGGGCACTTGTCCAAATCCTCCTGCTCTCTCTGCCCCGTCCTCATGATCGCAGCACTCGTCAGTACTTTCATGTTCTCGCTGAGGCCTCTGAGATACGACGGAGTTGTATCAACCCCTTCAACAGACTCCAGCATCTCGTCGGGAAAGTCGACCCAGCGCGTAATATCTTGGCCTGGGAGCGAGCGTAGGCAACGATCCTAGCTCGGCGCCTTTCAAAAAACAGATCGCGCTCAAGGAAAGATCGGAGGTAGCCGTGAGCATAGTGAGTAGGGAGGTTGGGTGTCATGATTCGTAGGGTGGAGGAGCCTGTAACAAATCCGATTGGCTCGCGAAGGCCACCGAGCAACTCAATTCAACGAGTTCAGACTTGATTAAAAGATCATCATATCCGATCGGAAGTCGGGAGGGAGATCGAATGAAACCAGCAGCCGATGAGTCGGCAACCGTCACCATCTTCAACTGCAAGAACTTCAGCTTCTCTAATCGCACGTTGGACTCCTGCGTCGGTCTCCAATACATGGGCTTCACCGGGACTCCTGAGCCTCCACGGCGGCAAGCCCAACTCCCGACGGCGGGTAGCTACCTGAGCTGCTTTCTGGTAGACCTTCCTCTCCTCAGCGGTCGCTGCCTTCCACTCGGTTGACCAAGTAGCCGCACGTTCATTCCAGAGCTTCATCTGGTCAGGCCCATACTTCACGAACAAATCATCACCTGCATCTCTGGCCGTCTTGATTTTCATGTGGACGTAGGCGTTCCAACCAGAGTATCGGCGCTGCAGGCGCTTCTGTTGTTTCTGCCGGTTGGGATCCTCTCCGAGCTTGGTCTCCTCGATCTCTGCCTGAATGATGTTGCCAAGAGTCTCGAGTGCGGACTTGCCCTTTGATTGCACTGCGAACTTTAGCCACCGATTGACGAACTTGGCTGAGACGTACTCCAGTTCGGCAGATGAGGTCTGGAGGCCCAGCAGCTTGTTCAATCTCCGAACCTCGCTCCATCGCGATTCAATCCTGGCAATAGATAGTTCCATGATAGCGGCTCTTGCCCTGAGCTCACATCTGGCCTCTGGCGAAATTATTGATTTCCCTTTGTACTTCTCCAGGTACTCTTTACTCACGTCGTCCAGGATGCACGGGCGCTTCAAGAATCCTTTCGCCATCCGAATAATGCCAGCGTCATTGAGGGAAGGATCAAGTAGTTTGAAGATTCTGAACGGAAATATTGATTGTGGCCACACCGTCAGATCAAATAGTGCGGTGGTGGCCTTGGCGAGCACGCGGAAAGCCAAACACCGCACTGAGGATGTGCGCTTGTCGGGCTCGATGGCGTTCCAGTGCTGGTCGCACGCGCCCCCTGGAGTGCACAACTCGCAGAATAGTTGAACAGCTGGCTCTGCAAACCAATTGTTAGCGGCAAGTGCGCACTGAAAATCTCTCGAACCACCCCAGCTCGCCTTCATCTTCTGTCCATATTCCCATCTTCTAGAAGCTAATTGAAACATTCGGGAGAGACTAAGCCGTCTGCCTTCTGATACTTTCTCCAGCACGGCGATGTCTGTGAAACCTGTGGGGCTGTCTATCCATTTCTCTGCTGTCTGGAGCCAGTTCTTGGTGACCTTCTGCCACGCACTGGAATCGGTGGGAGCTGCGGCGACCCCGTCGGGCTGGGCGACAAGCGCGCTGATAACATCTGTTGCTGCCGATGGCGATTCGTCCGTCTTCTTATCGGCAAGCAAAGCTCTAAATCCCACAGAGAAAAGGCCGTGAGTGTGTTCCAGCAGCAAGACGGCCTTATATACTTCCTCCGCCCCAGTCCACTTTCCTCGAGAAAACACCTTAAAACCTGATAAGCAACTCGCGACGAAATGGGAACGAACGGCCTGGACTGTTTCGTCGCGGCTGGTGCAGCAATTCGGGCCGCAATGGTGGACGAGTTTGCCCCTGATGGACAAATCGCCATTCAGCAACTTATCGTAGACTTGCCTCTGGAACCGATGCCTCAATATGCCACCCCCACGCTTACGACGACGAATTCCCACACGAGTATCACCGTCACTCTGGAAATGTCTCGGGCAAGAAACGTATTGTGACAACGCCGCGTCCCTAAAATGGGCCGCCTCGGTCCCGGGCGCTGGCGGCGGCCCGTAGTCGATCACCAAATTCTCGGACGCGAATTCGTCGATGGCCCTCTTGAACCGCTGCCTCCACCCGACCTGCGGCGCTGGCAGGGAGCAAGATCTTGCGTGGGCATTGAAAAAACCTAAGACATGATACAAAAGTGCGGGCAGGGCGCCCCGATGGCGGGACACTTAGGCCCTGCTCTTAGACTCTATGGACCATGGGTGGGCCTCTCGGGCCTCTCGGCGCTTGCGGGCCAAGGGCCTTGGGCCCCAGGGGAGTGGGCCCTATGGCATATGGACAGTGCGCCCTATGGACTCCATGGACGATTGGATCATTGGGTCTCTGGGCCCCGGGCCCCTAGGCGGCCTCTAGTCTCTAATCTCTAGACAAGGCCGCGGGCCGAGGGACCCATGGGCGGCGCTCTACTCTACAGACTCTACTTGTTACTTGGGCCTAGATGGCCCACGATGGCCTCCTAGGACCTAGGAGTCCAAGACTCTGACTCCAAGACCCAATGCTTCAAATTCAAATGGCAAATGATGGGCCCAACAACTTAGACTTAGATGCTCCCAAGACGGCCCAAAATGGCTTCAAGAATTCTAAAACTCTACGATCCGAGAAGCCCTCCACGGGTGGGTGGAGGCTGGTGGGCGGGGTGCTAGACTACTGGGGCGGGAGGAGGGCCGGCGGCTGATCGAGGTACCTGCGACAAATATCAGAACTCACTATTAGACTAATTGGGGTAATGGCCTGGCAAGGACGACTCTGGACTCTGGACGGGGCCCAAGCCCAAGGCTTAAGGCTTAAAAGCTGCCTCAAGATGGCCCAAGAGACCTCGCAGACGCCCTGCAGCCCGACCCCCAGAGGCCCAAAGGTTCTCCGGGAGTCCGAGAGGGGCCCTCTGCGAGAGCAAACACATCGATTTACTTGAAGCCTTGACCCAATGCCCAATACGACAGACAGACAGACAATGACCAAAAGCTCCAACCGATGTCTCTGGGGAGAGCTGGATGCACTATGTAACGCAGCCATGTAAGATCATCACTGGGCGAAGCGGCGAAGCAACGAATTGAATGCCAAATGACTCTGGAGCGGCCAGCATGCCTAAAGCCTAAAGCCTAAAGGCTGGGCCTCGAGGCGACAGGGCGGCACCTTAGAGCCTTAGGGCCCTACGGAGCCACGACGACTCCGGGATCCAGGGCACGTCCCCCCCGACGTATGAGGGGACCGTGAGGGGCAATCCTGAATTTGTCCCAGGGCAAACAGCACGACCGAGACCCGTGAGGAAGACAATACATCAAGCTGCGTGGGAACGCATAGGCGGCTCGCAAAAGTTTCAAAAGCCTAGCGCAGTCGCTACACGACGGAGCCCAAAGGGCCTAAGGGCCAGGAGCCGCCTTGCAACAACCGAGATGGGCCCTTGTCAGCACAGTCAGCAGCTGAGCAAACAAAAAGTTCGACGTGGAAAACATTTCTTAAACGAGGGCGAATGTCTCAATACTCACTCACTGCGCTCCGCTGTTACTACTCGGCGAGGCCCCAACTGCAGCTAGCCGCCGGCCCCTCGCTGCGCCGCTCGCTGGGCTCACCAATAGCTCAGCGGGGGCACCCAGTAGTGGCCGTACCTGCGATGGGGGCCCCCTGTGACCCAGAATCCGAGACTCAGACCCCGTGGGCCCATGGGGCGGAGAGGACAGGAGTCAGACCAGGACCATGACCTGGAGCCCGAGCAGGAACCCAGGGCCCAGGGCACCGCATGACGTCTGCCCGCGCATACTTCGCCATATTTCCCAACCAGCCACCCTTGGAGTACATGACGAGGGTCAGCTCCTAAGCGGAGAGGCGAGAAGCACTGACGGTGACAAGGGGGCGGGAAGGGGTGGAGTCCAGGATGGAGGAGGTAAAGGGGGGGTTACCGAGTACGTAAGGCGGAAGGGATCCTGAGGACGCAAATAAAACATGAACAAGTATGTCACGTTGCCCCACATAAGCGGGAACACGTCACTCAGGGAGCTCCCGATAGGCATGGGCGGCGGCGGCCCCTGGTGCCACCAAAATGTCTCGGGGTCTTCTTCTGACATGAGAAACCAATGGCCAGGTAATGGAAACGAGGGGCCCCAGGCTCTCAAGGCAAGGCCGTCGCCCAGCCCCTGAAATTCAGGGGCTGGGCGACGGCCTTGCCTTGAGCCTTGAGAGCCTGGGGCCCCCCGTCTCCACTACCTGGGATGCTCCTCTGCGGGTGGTCCCAAGATGTTCGGCATGGCTGCCTACGGCCGCGCCCCTGCCCCTCGGCCCTGGCGCGCAACCGTGGCCGCAAGCTTCGAGCCGAGCCTCGCTCGGAGAGCGGGGAGGACACTCCAGAGGGCCAGAGGGAGAGCGAGAGGCGGTGGAGGTCGAGGAGGGCAGGAAAATCGACGACGACGACGAAGACGGCGACGACCAGGACCACGACCACGACGATGACCAAGACGACATCCGATGGGAAGGGTTGGCACATTTAAAATTGAATGGCGCGACCTGCCCGAGTGCCAGCATCGAGTTCAGGATGCCAGTAACGGAAGAATCCACCAAAACCCCAGTCCTGGGGCCCAGGGCCTGAAGCTTGTGCACCGAGCACGGAATGCGCCCGGCTAAGCCACAATGAATCTGATAAAAACGGTGCGCTCTGTCGTTGGATCCTGCGTCGTCTGACGTGATCAGCCGGGCGCGGCGCTTGTTGCCAAGCATCTTCTGCAGGAAGCCTCCGGCCTCGACTTGCTCATCCAAGGCCTGCACGATAGCCTCACCCGTGGTCCTATCAACATGCTGGAGCCAACAGGGGTTGTCGAAATGCAAGCATGAGATCTTACCAGTTCGCACATGCTTCACTATACAAGTCGACGAAAACTCTGTCTGGAATATCTTGCTCAAACCAACCAGCTTGCCTGCCTCAACCTGGGGAAGGGTCGTCGACGGTGCATTCATCGTCGTCGTCGCCGCGGCCGTCGCCGTCGCCGTCGCCGTCGCCTTTGCCGTCGTCGTCTCCGTCGTCCTAGTGATGTTATGGTCGTCTGAGGGGAGCTGGAGGGGGCTCAGGCTCAGGGATCAATTGGAAAGGGGGGTAGAAGAGAAAAGTTGGTAAGGGATGAGGGTGGAACCTTAAGTCGGAGCGGGCTCTCGTCGAACATCAAGTGATCAAAACGCATAATATACTCAAGGGTCCCATCTTCAAGCAATTGCCTAACAACGCGAATTGCAGCTTCAAATGCACTCCGAGACGCAAGACAAATATTGGCTGCCAATCTGATCTCCGTAGCCTTCACTGAATCACGATGGAGGCCATCCCGGAAAGAAGCAGCCGTGAGGGAAGTGGCCGCCAGACCATGCGGCCCCACGGCTCGTTGAGCAACGCGCAGTTGTTTGGACATCACGACCTTGGACCAAACGCCAGGCGCAATGGAGGACCTGGCAGCTGGCACGGCTCTGATCAGGTTGAGGCCGTGCTGGAAATCAAACCTCGAATCGCAGCCGACGTCGTCGACGTCGTCGTCGTCGTCGTCACCGGCGGCGGCGGCAACGGCGGCGACGACGACGACGACTTGCATCTGCAACGGGCTCCACCCCACTTCACTCCACTCCCCTCCTCCTCCTCATCTTCCTCCTCCTCCCTCGTCGTTCCCCTCCCGATGTTTACACGCTGCTTCACCCCCGTTGCCCCCCTCCTCACAGCCGAGGCCCGGACGAGGGCGGATGGCTGACGACGCTCAGCGCCAGCTCCGTTTCCGCCGAGTCGCACTGTTGCTCTCGGCCCTTCTCGCCGCGGGCCTTCTCGCCCGCTCGCCCCTTCTCGCTGACGAATCGGCCCTTCTCGCCGCGGGCCTTCGGGCCCGCCTTCGCTTTGGGCTTAGGCCCAGGCTCCGCCGCCGCCTTCGCCGAGGCCCGGGCGAGGGCGGATGGCCGAATCGAGCCAGGAGGGCGCCCCCTCCTTTTTTTGGGAGGAGGAGGCTCGCCAGCACCGCCAGCAGCCACCCTCGGGGGGCTGACGGAGCGAGCACTGCTGGCTGCTCCGTCAGCAGCCACCCGAGGGGGGCTGACGGGCTCATCTGAGCTGCTAAGCTCGTCGTGAGTGTGGCTCGGGCCCCACCCCATGACGCGCCACGCCGCACGCCCCCCTGAGAAAACGTTCCTGCAACGCCATGGGCCGCTTGAGCCAGCTGAGGGGAGAGGGAGGGAGGGAGTAAGAGAGAAGGAGAGAGAGAGAGAGAGAGAACGTACAATGAGAGATTGTAGGACAAGTGGTGGGCGGTTACGGTATATGGCTGGTGGTGGGGGATTGTGCTGGGGATCGTGCTGAGGGGTTGTGCTGGGGGCTTGAGCTGGGGGTCGTGCTGCGGGGTCGTGCTGGCGGGTCGTGCTGAGGGGATGTGCTGGGGAGTTGAAGTTGTGATTGGGGGCTGTAGTTTTGGGTTGTTCTCCTCCTCTTTTTCCTTTGTTTCTGTTAAAGATCGATCCAAACAAAGCAATTCAAGATCAATGCGCTCATCGGTTTTTGATATCAACAGTTTTCCCAACTCGTTTTGTCATGGCCAACAGTTCCCGCAGCTCGTTTCAGGACAACAACGTTTCCTTCAACTTTCTGAAACGCGAATGTGTGGGAACGCAACATCTTTTCAACATATCCTACAACATTTCTTACAACTCATCAACACAACACCACAACTCTGGTATCAACACATGACTTAACTATTTAAAGGCCCCATGGTAAGCACACTTCGGCGCCTCAATAATCAGCATCCCCCCATGGCCCGTGGCCCTCCTCCTGCTCGCCCTTTTCCCTGCTATCCTGCCCCTCCTGCCCATCCTCTCCACCACCCTTCCTCCTCCCCCCCTCGCGCCCCCCCCCCCCCCCTGGACCTGGGCGGGGCGCCCCGCGGGTAATTAGAGAGCCCTAGATGGCCCAAGACGGCTCCAAGAGCGCCTCGGAGAGCCCAAGATGACCTCCGAGATGCTTCAAGATAGCCTAAGATGCCTCAAGATGGCCCCGGAGATTCTCCACGGGGCCCCAAGAACGCTCCAAGGCGGCTCCAAGAGGCCTCGGAGACCTCCAAGGAGGCCCCCAAGATGCCAAAATCCTTTTAGAAACTCACAGAGAATATGTGATTTGCGCCTTCTCGCCTTTTCGCTTCCGATGACCATCCGAGGCCCCAAGATGGCTCCAAGATGGCCCAAGAGGGCTGCGGCTGCTACTGCTGCTGCTGCTGCTAGTGGTAATGCTGCTGCAGGTGCTCGCGGTGCTGCTGCCGGTGCTGCCGGTGATGCTGCTGCTGCTGCGGCTGTTGCTGCTGCTGCTGATGGTGATGGTGCGGGTGCTGCCGCTGGCGCTAGTGCTGCTGCCGTTTGGGGGAGGGGGGGGGGGGGGCGGGCGGAAGGGGGGGGGGGAGGGGGGCGAGGGGGAACGCGAGGTGGAGGAGGAGGAGGAGCAGGGGGAGCAGGAGAGCAGGAAAAAGGGCGAGCAGGAGGAGGGCCATGGGCCACGGGGGGGATGCTGACTATGATGATGATAACGATGATGATGATGTTTTTTCCCCAGGGACCGACGGCAATGAGGGATGGCAATCGACGCAGTGAGTCCAGTCCTGGCAACGGGCGCAAACGATGCCGAACCAACTCGGAGGTTGGGCGCCTTACAGCTGACGCCGCGACAATTCAACACGAGGGGAACGACACAATAACTAAACACATTCCTGCAACACAAATGCTAAAATCCCACCGAGGGCATGCCCTGAGAGAGAGGGGGGGCCGATCAGAAGCTAAGCCCGTGGCCAGGCGACGATCGAGGAAAACAGACCCTGCCCTCGCAAAATCTCTCTCCAGAGAACAAGCGGGGCCTTGCGGTGCTTCATCGGTAACCTGGCGGCAGCAAAATTAAAGAAGAATTATCGGCGGCCAATGCAGCTGAAGCCAGGCTTGCCACTTGCAACAGCCAATGGACGCCGCGAGAAGCACTGTTTGGGGAAATACGGGCCGCGCAAAGGACCCCGAGAGAAGCAGGGAGAGCAGCTTTCGGGGAACCCCGACACGGGCATCAGCAAAGAGCGAGGCCGAGCCCGCTGCCCCCAGCGGGGCACGGGGAGAAAAGAACAACAAGACGACAGAATGGTACTTGCACAGCATAAGACTCCGCGGGCCCCAAGAAAGGCAGTGAGCCACTAGCCCCAGGGGGGCAGAGGTTATATGAGACCGCTACGAGGAAGATGCAGACCAGGCACGGGCAACCTTGGGACGCCGCCGAATGTGCAAGCGGATGCGGCCTTTGAGGAGATCCGTCGGCGACGGCCTGGACCCCTCACGGAAGCTGGCTTGGACAAAGAGGAATCCATCCAAGGAGGCTCGCACAGATTACTCGCTGCTCAAAAAACGGGGGAGGGGCAATGAAAGTTAAACATCGGAACCAGGACTCTTCGCTAAAAAAAGGATGGAGGCATGGGGCGAGAGCTAAACTCAGTCGTCGAAATTCAGGACATACAGCATAGTGCTCCATAGAGTCGTTGGCCCCAGGGGCGCCGCAGTTCCAGCAGCTTCCGACAGGCCCATGATGAACTCTGGCACTGGTACAGACACCCCTCGCCAGGGCACGCAAGACCGCGAGCCCCAGGTAGAGAGAACTTTCCTTGCAGACCTTGCGGACAACCTGAACGGCGGCAGAGACCTGGGCGACTGAGACCCCAGGGGCCCATCGGATCACCCGGGCGCGGAGGCAACGGATAGGAGAGATCGGAGGAGCACGGGCACGAAGGATTCGCGTGAGCTTCTTTTGAAACCCCGGGGCCTGAAGAAAGCCAGCGCGCAGATGGATGCGCCCATTCCACGTGTCGATAAGAGACCGACAGAACGTGTGCTGCCACCAAGGGTGCCGCATCCGAGCAGGGTGAAATTCGCCCCCCTGGGAAAGACCAAGAATCAGACAACGGATTCGCGGGAATGCGGCACTGTTGTGGGCAAGGCAAACTTGAGCAGCGATGCCGATCTGGGCCAGATCAGGGAACTCCAACGATCAACCGAGGTCGCACATCCTGGTACACATCAGTCGGTTGAAGGCAAACCGAGGACCCGCCATGAGCTTCTGTCGCACGTTCCCTTCGCGCTTCAACACATCCGACAACGGAGGATATAGCTGCATCGCAAACCTGAGAACAGAGACGGCGAAAATCACGTACGTCCTAATGGTCATAGCGAGCGCAACCCGAAGCCTCCGAATCTCAATGCAACGCTGATGAAACTTCTGCAACGCAGTGCCCCAAGCGTGCTTCCAGCCTTCTGGGCCAATCTGAATCCCCAGATACCGAGCATGCCGAGCCAACCCAATAGCATCAGCCCCATTCCCAAGACTAGCGAGTAACCTGCGAATCAGCCGAGACGACCGCGGAGAGAGACTCAGACCACAGTGGATCAGGACACACTTCTTCATGTTCAGGGCGAGCCCAATCCCAGGATGCAGACACTGAAGCAGCGGGAGAAGAATCGGTATATCAACGCCCACATCCCGAAGCCCAAACCACAAATCGTCAGCATATGCCAAGATTTGCCGAGGGGGACGACAACAAAGCCAACGAATGCACGGGTCGAGAGCGCGAGCGAAGAGCAGCATACTGGACGGGCCCCCTTGGCGAACACCCCGTAGCAGGCGCATCGCTCTATGACGCTTCCCTCCGAAGCAGGCGGCCCCCAGGTTATCTGAGTGCAGCGCCTCGAAAAAAAAACAACCACTCCAGGAAGAACTGCTATCAGGGCCAGCGCCCGAAGAAACCAAGAAATCGCAATGCTCGGAAACGCAGCAGCAAAGCCGGTCAAGAACATGCAAGCCAGGTCCCTCCCTACCATGCACTGCTGAACCCCCCAACACTCCGCCCCAAGAATCTGGTCTGTCATAGACCCCCCTCGAATGCATGCCTGAA